AAGTCTGAGGTGACTTCTACGCTGATCAGGTGGTTGCTTACCACCCAGGACACTCGTGGTCGTCGTGTCAGCTGTCTCCACTCCGACCGCGGGGGCGAGTTTCGCTCCGGCATTCTCGCTGGATTCTGTCGCGAACAGGGCATTCGTCAGTCCTGGACGCTTCCGGAGTCCCCACAGCAGAATGGGGTTGCTGAGCGTCGCATAGGCCTGGTCATGGAGATTGCCCGCACCTCCTTGACTCACGCCCGTGCCCCCCATTTCCTGTGGCCATACGCAGTCAGGTACGCCGCGCACCAGCTGAACCTCTGGCCACGCGTCTCTCGGCCGGAGGCTTCACCGACCAGTCTTTGGACAGGGTCCCCTGGTGTCGCGTCGAGGTTTCGTGTCTGGGGGTGCTTGGCTCTTGTCCGCGACACCTCCGCGGACAAGCTCTCGCCTCGCGCCGTTCCTTGTGTCTTCCTTGGTTTCCCTGAGGACTCCTCTGACTTCACCTTTTACCACCCACCCTCTCACCGGTTCTTTGACTCCCGTGACGTCCGTTTCGAGGAGTCCACCCCCTACTACGTCAGGTACCCCAGTCGAGGTCTCCCGGTCCCTCCCCCCCCTCTCTTCCTGACCGCCGCTCCCCCGCCTGCTCCCCCGGTACAGCCTCCCCCCCCTGGTCCAGCCCCGTCTGGTGTGTCTCAGGCTAGCCCTCCCCCTTCGGTAGCCCCCCCTGTACAGCCTCCCTCCCCACAGTCTTCCTCGCCGCCTCCTGCAGGTGCTCCCTCTCGAGAGGTTGGTCCTGCGACTGTCCCTGTACAGGTCTCTGGTTCTGGGGGTGCTGGAGTTGGAGCTGAGCCGCGGGTTGCAGAGGACTCTTGTCTTCCGGGGGCTGGTACTGGTCGTGCGGAGTCTGGGGGTGCTGGTGCGGAGTCTGGGGGTGCTGCGTCTGGGGGTGAGGGTGTCCCTTCGGTTTCTGGAGAGCCTGGGTCTGGAGCTGGTGTTGGTGCTGCCTCTGGGGGTGGTGTGCTTGGTGCTTCGGAGGTCGACTCTGGGGCTGCCGCTGCCCCGGACACTACTCCTTCCCCCCACCCCTACCCGACCAGGTTCCAGGCTCGTGTTCGCCGTGCTCGTGAGGAGCAGTTGGAGTTGGAGAGAGAGGAGAGAGAGTTGCAGCGGCTTGAGGCGCAGGAGCGACAGCAGCAGGAGCAGCAGCAGGAGCAGCAGCAGAGGCAGCAGCCGCTGGAGCAGCAGCAGCCGCAGCAGCCGCAGCAGCAGCAGCAGCAGCTGCTGCCGTCTCCTCCTCCTGTCTCGGGTCTTCGGACCCTTGGTCTCCCGTCTCCCTCTCCTTCCTCCTCCCCCTCTCCTCCCGTCTCTGGTCCTCCGCTTCCTCCTCCTGACCCCTCTCCCGCTGTTTTCCCTCGTTCTCAGTCTTCGTTGTCTCCTCCTCCTTCTCAGACTTGGGCCTCTCGTCGCTCCCCTCGTGCTCGTCCCTCGTCTCCTGTTCCCTTCACTGACCTTCGTACAGCCTTCCTTTGTTCTCGTCCACCTCGTCCGTCTCCGTCTGTGCTTCCGTCTCCTCCTGAGTCGGCCCTCACTGTGTCGCTTCCTTCTCCTGTCACTGACTACTACCGCACGTACCATCCTGTTCTCTCTCGTGTTCTCGCCTCTCTTGTTACCCACCCTCGTGCCTCTGTGTCCTCTGTGTCCGCTCTTACTGCCGCAGTCACTGAGTTTGCCTCTACCCGCCGCCTTGACTTCGCCACCGCTCTTGTGGCTGCTCCTCCTTCCAGTCCTCTGGCCGTCGGGGGTGTGTCTGCCCTTGGCAGTGACGCCCTAGAGGACAGGCAGTTTGAGCTAGAGTTCCTGGCCGCCGCTTCCCCTCATCTCTGTGCCATGCTCCTCGCCCCTGAGGGTGACCCCGACGCCCTTGACATTCCGACTCCTCGCACTTACGCTGAGGCAGTGTCAGGGCCTTGGGCCTCTCAGTGGAGAGCTGCCATGGACGCAGAGATGGCCTCCTACAGATCCACAGGCACCTACGTCGATGAGGTTCCCCCTCCGGGGGCGAACGTAGTTGACGGCATGTGGATCTACAGGGTGAAGCGGCCACCGGGATCTCCTCCGGTCTTCAAGGCGCGCTACGTGGCTAGAGGTTTCAGTCAGCGCGAGGGAGTTGACTTCTTTCAGACCTTCGCGCCCACCCCGAAGATGACCACTCTTCGGGTGTTACTACACGTAGCAGCACAGAGAGACTACGAGTTACACTCTCTCGACTTCTCTACTGCTTTCCTTCAGGGCAGTCTTCACGAGGAGGTCTGGTTGCGTCGTCCCTCTGCCTTCACTGGCTCTTTCCCTCCTGGGACCCAGTGGAGGCTGAGGCGACCGGTTTACGGTCTTCGTCAGGCTCCTCGTGAGTGGCACGACACCCTGCGTTCTACCCTGTCTGACCTTGGGTTCCAGCCGTCTTCTGCTGACCCGTCGCTGTTCGTTCGTCGTGGCCCCACACCTTTCTTTGTTCTGGTCTACGTTGACGACCTTGTTTTCGCCACCCCTGACAGGGTTGCTTTGGCACACGTGAAGTCCGAACTGCAGAAGAGACACACCTGCACTGATCTTGGTGAGCTGCGCCACTACCTTGGCCTGCAGATCACCAGGGACAGAGCTGCTCGCACCATTACACTTTCACAGTCGCACATGGTGCAGCAGGTCCTTCAGCGGTTCGGGCTTCAGCACTCCACAGTACAGCGCACACCTCTTGCTGTTGACCACAGACTCACTGGACCCTTTCCTGATGAGCCGTTCGAGCCTAGTGGTCCCTACGCAGAGCTTGTGGGTTGCCTCATGTACCTGATGACTTGTACTCGCCCGGACCTCGCCTTCCCTCTCAGCGTTCTTGCGCGCTTTGTTGCGCCAGGGAGACACCGTCCTGTTCACTGGACAGCAGCTGTGAGGGTGGCGAAGTACCTAGCGTCGACGTCAGGCGTGGGGCTAGTTCTTGGAGGGCAGCAGTCTGTCGTACTTACTGGTCACTGTGACTCCTCTTACGCTGACGACGCTGAGACTCACAGGTCTACTCAGGGGTACTGTTTCAGCCTGGGTTCTGGAGCTGTTTCCTGGCGGTCCACGCGCTCCTCTTCGGTCTCGACCTCTACAGCTGAGGCTGAGATCTACGCTGGTGCCATGGCGGCACAGGAGCTGCGTTGGTTGACCTTCTTGCTCACCGACCTTGGTGAGCGGCCGAGCTCTGCACCGACCTTGTTCACTGACAACAAGGCGTCTATTCTCCTTTGTCGAGAGCCACGACTGGAGAGCATAGTGAAGCACATTCACATCAGGTACTTTCTTCTGCGAGAGTTGCAGAGGCGTGGACAGGCTCGCTTTGAGTTTGTGGAGTCCGAGGCCAACACTGCAGACATCTTCACCAAGGCGCTTCCGCCTTGTGACCACCAGAGGTGCTGTGTGCAGTTAGGCCTTGTTGACACTGGTTCTCGTGTTGCTTAGACTTGAGTGTACTGTTTACTTTGCTTTCTATATACCTCTGTTACTTCTTGGACTGGCCTTGTGGCCACTGTTGTTTGTGCTCAGACTGTGTGGTGACGTTGTGATCCACCCTGAGCTTCGTTTCTTGGACTGGTCTTGTGACCGTACTCGTTTGGTTCTGCTAGACACCCCTCACTTAGGCTATGGGGGTGTGTCAAATGTTGTAGCCTATAGTGAGGTTTGTCTTAGGGGGTACAAAACTTAGGGTTAGCTATATGTACCCCAACCAACATCAATGCATCATCCATTCTTCATTCTGACATTACGGTAGGAGTACAGGGGAATACGAAACGACCTAACTAGCCATGTACTCTAAGGGGTACATTCCCTTATTCAAATTCATTCCCAACCGTGCGGCGCGTACAGTTTCGTAACTGTTCCCGCCAAAACCATCCTGCCTGAAGCTGCCCGATGCCATCTGCTCCGACGGTCCAGATGTGCTGTAACCGTCTGACTCTTCGGTTCAATTCCAACTGTCTGACGCTTCGCGTTCATTCCCGATATTGCCTGCTTCTTTTGCTGCGGTGAGGAGTGCATAGTAATATAAAATATTACTATTCGTAACAGATAGAAGGCCGTAGGAATACGCCAAAACCTCTCGCTACTTTTTCCAGGCAAAATGTACAATTTTGATACGGAGGTGGCTTGATAGGAGGCCGTGAGAATACGCCCTAATGTCAAGGATTGTAGTGTAAACTTTTCATCGTTTACCAGGGTTGTAAGTGAATGACCTGCTATGTTAAGAACCAATCAAGGGCTCTTAATTTTGAGAAATGCCTAAATAGAGTATACGATGTGACCATATCAGACTAAAATATATCCATGCGTGTAACTGCCTATCAGTTTGTTTGCAATCTGTGCGTGTACATGCCTGCTATGTTATATGCCTACTGGATTCCGTTCTGAATGCGGGTTATTGCGGATGAAGTCCCCCAAGAAAGCTTGGCGCGCTCTGGCTGTTTGTCAACACGGAATGAGCTGTCGTCCTCTTGGCTAGAGCGCGTGACTGGCGGCTGATGTAGGTATGATGCAGACGGACTTAGATCCCGGTTCTGAAGCTTGGACACCAAGTGAAGTGTGGACACTTTGGTAGCAATGAACACGTCTGATTGGCTGTCATGCTCCAATACTTCTCGCAACTTGTGTATGACCAATGATCGGGTGTGTTTACACGTCACTGAGGGAAAAAATTGGTTCTTGGTGTCCAAGCTTCGGCCAGAACCGCGACCTTACACCATTGGATGAGTTTCCCCGCGATGGTGTGCGGACCGCGATGGACAGAAACTATGGGCCTCCGATTGGCTGCGCTCACAAAACTCCACACTTTATGGCTGCCCAATCAAATCGTAACTATCAAGGCTTTGCTTCCACAAAAAATCTTGCCACCGAAGTTGCTCCCAGACCAGAACCGGAGTGGCTGTGGATGAAGCGGACTTCGGGATTTCTGGTGGTGAAACGTCGGGAAAAGCGAACCGATGTCAGGCGTCACACGGAACGACCCCGAGTCCCCGACGCGGCAATTTCTTTGGTGAGGAGGATCACCGAAAACTCCTTGGGGGGACCACATGATCCGGATTTATGGAGGTGGCAGCGGGGAGGGGAGATGAGCTGTTTGAGTGTGCCACCCTCATCCATGCATACTTGCCCGATTGTCTGTGTGACTGGTGGCAGATTCAAACTCGCCGCCAGCTTGGGATTATCCAGGGGATGACCTCCCACCCAATCCATTTCTTGTCATTCATTTGTGGCTGCTTTGACGCTTCAACAACTCGGCAGGCCCAGGTCGTTGCTTAAATTTATTTCGACTTTTCATTTTACGTCAGCAACGGCATCTCGAATATTCATCTGGTGAACTGCTCTTTATCCCGTGCTTCGGCTTCTGTACTGCTGGCCCAGCGGATATTACGACGTTATATTCGGAGACCGGACAGGTCTTGAACAAAAGCACATTTGCAGCTGAAGCGCACTGAACGACCTGGACGCAACCATGTCTTCCTCTGCCTCATGCTCACTCTCCTCTCTCGCCGTCGCGTCTCCCAACCAAGCCGACGCACCAAACCACTCCCCAGTCACCTCATTTCCAGACCGCTCCTTAAAGCCGTCGCTCCGTAGTCCGCTTCCGCGTCCCACCTCACCGTGCTTTCACGCCGGCTTACTTTCAGTTCGGCCGGCGTTCACCCAACGTTACCGTGGCAGACTGAATCCGTCAGTGCCGTCAGCATCCTCCCAGCACACGCTACCGGCGTCCTCCCGGCATTCTCACTCGGCTGAACGAGGACGAAGTCATGCTCATACCGGCAAGTACCGGTCCAATATTGAAGAGGGTCGAACGGTCGTCTCTCCTGCGACCGACGCCGCGCCCCGGCAGGGATCCGTTGAGGACAAAAGACCTGCCACGTCACCAGGATCTGTTCGGTCCGTCGCCAACGGCTGGGATGAGCTGGATAATCTGGAGGACATGACGGTGAGGCGGAGCGCGCGGAGCAGCGGGGGACGTAGGGGAAGCGGGGCGCGGAGGAGCGGCAGTGCACGGTTCCGAGTCGCGGAGGAGCTGCGCCGGAAGCACCGGGAGCGGAGCCAGGCGCAACAGGCGCAGCAGGTGCGGCAGCACGGGGAACAGTACGAGGCGCAGCAGGTTCCGCCACAGCGGCGATACTCCGAGGCCGCGCGTGCATTTGAGCCGGAGGTGGTTTTCGAGGGGCCTAACGAGGGCGGCGGGGAGTGGAAGCGAGCCGCAGGCCGTGTGTGGGAGTGGATAGCTGTAAAGAGCGGAAGCGGCGCCGGCGGCGCGGGGTCGTTCTTTGAGCCGTTGTCCGCGAAATATTCCGCTGATAGCATTTCGCCTTGTTCCGAGGGAGGTTTCGCGGATCTCGTGTTGCTCGCGATTTTCCGCGTCGTGCGCTTCTTCCGCCGGGCGGCTGCTTCGCTCAGCGCCGCCATCGTCGCCGCGCTGCCGTCGTCTTCCCAAACAACACTGGTGAGTCATATGGCAGCACGGGTATTCATGCACCGCACGCCCTCTTCCCACTCGTCTTCCCCAGTTCGCCGTAAAATCAAGGTACCTATAAGGTCGCAATAGGACTTAACCCTGTCTTTCCCCCCTCCGTCCCCACACCCCATCCCTCCTCTTTCTGTTCTTCTGTTCGTCGTCAGATCAAGGCCGTAGTTGACGGTGCGCTGCTGCTCTCAGGAGTGTGGCTGCTGCGAGGCGTCTTTGAGGTGAGATGCCGCCCTCAGCCTTTACCCCTTCTCCCGCTCCTGTTCTTATTGCCGTTCATGGCGTCAGGGGTAGCTTCGGAAGAGTACTCCCCTCCCCCATCTTCTGTAATGTCTCTCCGTCCCTCTGTCCCTCATCGCGCATTTCCTTTTTTCATCCCCCGCCGTGTCCACTCGCGATGTGTGTAAGTCCTCACCGCTTCGTCCGTCCCCTTTCTCTTCTCTCCCCGTCCGCCACTCACCAGGTCACATGGCGACTGAGCTCCGTCGCGCTCCTCTCTCTCCTCCCCGCGCTCGGCGCCATGACCCTCATCTCCGCCACTAACGCTCCGCGCCAACCGCACTCCGCGCCTTTCTCCGCGCACCCGCGCGCTCCCGCGTTCGCCTCCGGCCCCCCTCCCCCTCCCCCTTCTCCGCCACCCCAGGGCCGCCGCCAGCCTCCCTATTCTGACGTTCAACCCGTCCCTCGTAGAGTCGCTTTCGTCGAAGCAAATTATAGCGCGTACAGAGATAACGTATCATGGGACGAGGGCGTGCGGTACAGGGCAGGGGAAGGAGTTGGGAGGCGGAACGGACGATTTGAGCGGTGGGAGGAGGTGAGCGACGACGAGCTAGGATTCGGATATGCGTCGGATGGGGACCGCGATAGTAGCCCGAACAGAGTAGAGAATGAAAACAGCCCGAGAGGAGCAGACGCAGAGGAGACTTCGAACCCTAGCATCGATTCGGGTGCTTATGTGTCGGCTGCTACCCAAGCGATTGGACGAGCCGTAGCCGTGGGTGATGCTGACGATCGGCCACGGGCAGCTGCTGACGTCAGTCCGTACGACCGTAGCGAAGCTGCCGCAGCTGCTTATGGCGCGAATGCTTTTCATACTGTAAATGGCGCCACTGCTGCTTCTGCTGGTGCCGCTGCTGCTGCGGCCTCTGAACATTTTAATGTACATAATTCTAGGAGTGGTGTAGGATTCGGCAGCAGCATCATCAGCAGCATGGGCAGCAGGGGTATGCGCGTGTACGAGTGTTGCAATGGCACCTGCCCTGCTTGCAGAGCGCCCGCGTTTACCAAAGCAGTCCCTGGAGGGGATAGGGACATGAGTGGTGTGCAAGGAGTGAATAGACCTGGCAGGGGCAGCGGGCATATTAGCGTGCCTAGGATTGATAGAGCTGGAATGCTGGTGGAGGAGGAAAGTCTAGCGGCAGCCTCAGGTGCAGTCGTAGGTGCAAGTTCAGAGATGAAAGCATGGAACGAGGCTTTTGTCGCTAGTGCTCCGCGCCTAGGCCCTACTTATGGGGATGGTGCTCCTGCTGCTTCCGCTGCTCGTGGCGTGGGCGGGTTTCACGACGTAGACCCTGCTTCCCCTGTGTCGGACGATTATTTTTCACCCGTGCTGCCCGATTCTGCTGCTCATGCTGACGCGGCGAGGAGGCTGGAAGCCGTCCGATTGGACCTCAAACGCCACGTGGCTGCTGAATCGGCTTATTCTTCTTCTGCTCCTCCTGTTGCAGCACCGCCTGCTGTTACTGCCCCAGCTGCCGCTGGCAGTACTGCTAGGGTACCTGGTTACCCAGCGCCAACAGCAGCAGCACCAGCAGCATCAGCAGCAGAATCTGCAGCAGTAGGTCTCGGTGCAGAGGAGTGGAGATGGGAAGACGCGAGCAGAGAGGACGACATGAACCTGAACGCGGTCTTCCTTGAGAATTTCTGCGAGTGGCCGCGCAAACGCGTGGCTGTGGCTGCTGCTGGGAGCAGGGCGGACCCGGATCTTCGAACAGATAGGGCGGGGCGGCCGGACAAGGCCGACTGGGTGGGGCCTGGTGTGGGGAGAGCAGGTGCGGGAGGGGGGAGCAGGGCGGTGCCTGTGAGTGCGAGTGGCGGTGTGCATCCAGGGCAGTGGGATGCGCACAGCAGTGCGGTGGGGGGAGAGACAGAAGGCATGGTTCAGGAAAGCAAGAAGAGTGTTCCTGGGGGAACTGGCTTGGGCCTGAGCCTGGACTCGTTAGGGCTGGATGCGCTGGGGTTTGACGCGTGGCAGGCGTTCATGTGGGCGTCCGACAGGATCTACGGCAGCAGCTATGGGGACTATAGCTTCCACCGCAGGCAGGAGGGGACAGGGGGAGCAGGGGGAACAGGGGGGGCTGGCGGGCCAAGGGTAGAAGGGTTGCGAGGGCAGCAGCAGGCAGGGCAGGGGGGGTTGTCTGGCAGCGGGAGGGGTGTGGCAGGCTGGGGTATGGGAGGTGTGGGTGGGATGGGGGGGATGGGGGGAAGGGGAGGCATGCCTTTGACGGTTTCCAGAGGAGAGAGGCAGCAAGGAGGTGGTTGGCCCAGCAGCAGACGGCAGGGGAAGCGCTCAGAGTGGGACTTGGACCTGAATAGCATGCCTTGATGTGGCCCCACCACAGTGTGCCTTATGACGGTTTCCCAAGGAGAGGGGCAGCAGAGTGGTGGTTGGTCAGGAATGAGGCCTAGCAGCAAACGGCAGGGGAAGCGCTCTGAGTGGGACTTTGACCTGAATAGCATGCAGTGATGTGGTGCCACCAGTGTGTGCCTGGGAGTGCCCTCACCACAGCATGCCATGATGTGGCCCCATCATGTGCGTGGGATGTGTGTGCTGGGATGTGCCCCACCACAGCATGGATGCATGATGTGCTCTTGGTCTTCCACCATAGCATGGCATTGGCATGGTTTTATGATATGCTAGTAGCTACCTCGGCTGCTTCATGGATGCAGACTAGGTTACACATGGGTATACCGTATACATAGGGTATCTTTAAGAGCATTGCTCAGTTTTGGGACTCAAATCAGGTAGTTTGCACCAGTTTGGGTGGATTCTGGTAGGCAGCAAGATTTTTAGCATAGTGCATTGGACAGTTGCTACTGCTGCTCATTTGTTTATCTTCTGCATATAGCAGATCTGGGCTTGTAATTTCCATGTATGTGATTTTTTATAGCAACTGTAAATTCCAATCAGACATATATCCAGGACAAACTATCACTGTATGAATATCTCAATCTGCCTCTCCCGCAATGTCGCGTCACCAACCCAATCCCGAGGGGTCAAACTGCCGAAGCACTTTCTTGTCAGTTCGGTGGTCAGGTGTCAGGTAAGGCGGGGCCAAGGCAAGTCATCATAGTGGCACGCTCTGGTCAGGCATTTTCTAGAGTCGCCTTGCCACGGCATTTTCTCTGTGCAGTAGTGGCACGCTCTAGGTATTTCCTCCTATGTCATCCGTCCCGCATCCACCAGCCTCCAGCAATGCCTAGCGCGTACGCGAAACTGGTACTTTCGTTTTGCGTTGACACCACTAAGAATAGGCGTACCGTATTCCACCGTACCGATTTCGTGTCGTCAAGGCATTGATCTGGACGCGTTTTAAGCACTTTCGCTTGCAACATGGCGTCGAGCGGGGGAGGCGGCGGGGGCGGTAGGCCGCTCGCTTTTCTAGAGGACATGAATCTTCCCGCTCCGGAAGCGGCGGAGGAAGATCGCGGGGGAGCCTTTTCCGCGCATCCGCTTCCGCAGCCAGTTTCCGCCGCTCCGCCAGCCAGTTCCGCGCAGTCCATGGCCAATGCGCCATCCGCGCAAACTGCGCTCGCGCCGGCGCCGTTCCCTGCTCAGCCTCCCCCGTCCGCCGTTGCGCCGTATGCGGCTCGACCGTCCGCGTATCCCGCATCAGCAACCACCCCGCTACTGTCCATCCCCGCGTCCTTTCCGCCCGCTTATGCCGCGCAATCCGCTCCCGCGAGTTCCGCTCTCCCCGCTTCCGCGTTTTCCGCTTCCGCCAGTTCCGCGGCAGCGTTTAACAGCGCTGCCGCTGGTAGCGGACTGATGCAGTCACAGCAGCAGCAACAGCAGCAGCCGTTGCAGCAGCAGCAGATAGAATCCGGTCAGCAGATATTTCAACAGCAGCCGCCGCAGTTTCCGGCGCAATATCAGGGAGGGCCCTTACAGTACCAGCAGCAGCCGCCACAGCAGTTGCAGCAACAGCAGCAGCCGCAGTTTTTCCCACAGCCAAGCCAGTACCAGCAGCAACAGCAGGGTTCGCAGTATCAGGCACAGCCGCAGCAGGCACTGCAGCAGCAGTTTCAACCAGCACCGTACCAACAGCAACCAACACAGCAGCAGCAACAGCAGCAGCAGCAGCAACAGCAGCAGCAGCAACAGCCCGGAACCTTATGGGCTGGCACATCAGGACAAGGAAGCACTGTAGCACTGGGCGGCCAGGGCACTGTAGCGATGGGCGGCCAAGGCACTGTAGGGATGGCGGGGCACAGTGTGTCTGGTATGATGAGGCCCATCCCCATGCTGGGCGGCCAACTGCTCTCCCACCTCTCCTCCACCGCTCCCCAGCTATCTGCTAACCTAATCCGCTCCCCACAGCCCCCATTCCCCGTTGTTCTCCCCGCCACCTGCGCCCCCCTTAGCTCTGCGCCTTCCCCCATGCATTCTGGCCCCGCTCCTGTTTCCCTGCATGCTCCCGCTTTTCAGCAAGCAGGGGCTTTGATGCCGAGCCAAGCACCGAACCAGCTGCCGAGCCAGCCCATGGCTCGGCAGCAGTATGCCCCTGTGGTAGGCCAATCAGGGCAGTCCACGTCAGCAGGTCAGTCCACGGCGATTCCCCTGCTAGGGCAAGGATTTGTCCCTCTTCCTTTTCCTGGCACAGTAACAGCCAGCACAGTAACGCATAGCACTGTAGCGGGCACTGTAGCACCAGTTGTAGCTGCTCCTACCTCTGCTGCTACAACTGGTCTTCTCTGCATGCCTTCTGCTGCACCGCCAGTACCACCAGCAGCAGCGCCAGCAGCAGCGCCAGCAGCAGCACCAGCAGCTGCAAGCAAGCCGGCAGCAGCGTTCGCAGGGCTTGACCTGAACGCCTGTCCCGATGACCTCACCTCCCTCTCCTCGCCCACCTCCCTCGCTGCAACTGCTGCTGCCAGTGCGGATGCCACTGCTGCTACAGCCGCCGCTACAGCCGCCGCTACAGCTGCTGCTACACCTGCCGCCCTGACCACTACCCCGGTCACATCCCCACCTGCTGCTGGATACACCGCTCCTCCTCCCATGCCCGGGATGGGGGGAGGGATGAGAGGCCCCATGGGGCTAGTCCTGCCGCCCCAGTATAACACCCCCTTGGGAACCGGCCCTCACTACAGCAATGCCATGGCACCAGCAGCAGCACCAGCAGCAGCAGCAGCACCATCAGCAGCAGCAGCAGCAGCACCAGCGCCCATGACAGGAGCACTACAGTATAGCGTTCCAATGGGCCCAGGCGTCCCTGTGACTGCGCCCCACCCCATGGCCCCCCAGTTCGTTCCACCACCACATACCGCTCCCCACATGCCTCCACCGCTCCTTACCGCGCCCAACATGCCTCCACCACTGCATACCACGAGTCACTCAGCTGCGGCGCACTCGCACGCCCACCTCATGCGCACAGGCCCGCCCCATCTGCTCTCCATGCCGCCCGCGCTGCACGCTGTGCCGCCCGTGTCTGCTGCCCTTGCTGCTCCTGCCACCGTTGCTCCTTCTGCCGCCCTTGCTGCTCCTGCTGCTGTTCAATCCACAGACACTGCTGCTACTGCGGCCGGCGGGGTGTCAGCAGCAGGAGTGGCAAGTGATGGTGCTGGTGCCGGTGGCGGCGGCAGCGGTGGTGGTGGTGGTGGCAGTGGTGGTGGTTTTGGGTTTGAGTTGGATCTGAACGCGCCATTAGACGAGGATGAAGCTGATGCTCAAGGTCAGAATGAAGGCCAATGTGAAGGTCAGCTCAAAGCTCAGTTTGATGGTAAAGCACGGGGTGAAGCGGAGGATGAAAGAGAAGTAAAAATTGAACATGAGCGTGCAGACGGTGGTGCTGACTCAGTGCGAGGCGGTGCTGATTCAGCCCAACGCGGTGCTGACTCAGGCCGGGACCACAGCACGGTCACTGATGTGAGCGGTGCTGCTGTGAGTGGCGGAGGCGAAATTGGGATGGGAGGAGGAGGTAAGGTGGAAGGAGGGGTTGGGGTTGGGGCAGAGGGGAAGGGCGTGGGAAAGGATTTGAGTAGTCCTAGGAGGGATTTCCTGCATGATCTCAATATGACTCAGGAGGAGGGGGAGGTGGGGCAGGGCGAGGGGGAGGGAGGACAGGAAGAGGGGAGTGAGAGAGGGGTGGGGGGCGGGCAGGAAAGGGGAGATGATGGGCGAAGGAAGGGGTTTATGGTGGATATGAATATGGCCCTGGATGGGGAGGAGGGCGGGGAGGGCGGTGAGGAAGGGAGTGTGGGGGGAGTGGCAGGGAGTGAGGGGTTGGAGAGTGAGAAGGTGGAGAGTGCGGATGTACCTGGTAGAAATGAAGGAGGGGACTGGAAGGTTACGGGAGATGGGGAGAGGAGGGAGGAGAGGGACAGGAAAGAGGTGGGTGAAGCGGGTGAGGTGACTCGAGGGGAGGGGCAGGAGAGCAAATGGGGTGGAGGAGAGGAGGGAGAGGCAGAGGAGGTAGAGGAGGAGGAGTTGGGGGTGGTGGGGCTGCTGGGCCTTGCAGAGGCATTGGAAGGAATGGCTGCTGGTGCTGCCGATGCTGATCGTGGTGCTGCTGATGCTGCCGATGCTGCTGGTACTGCTGGTGCTGATGGTGGTGCTGTGGCTTCTGGTGCTGCTTCTGATGGTGGTGACGGTGCTGCGGTGGTTGCGGCTCCTGCTGCTCCGTCTTCTGCTCTCCCTCTCTCCTCCACCATCCCTGTTGCCACAGCAGCTGCTGCTGCTGCTGGGGAGACCACACCTGGTGGCCCTTCTTCTGCCTCTCCTCTTCCTGCCTTGGGAGCGGAATTCGCGGATAGTGCAGCGGCTACTGCAGCGGCAGGGGCTAACGTGGGGGTAAAAGGGGCAGTTTCACAGGGGGAAGCAGAGGTGGGCACGAAGGGAGACAAGCAGGGGGGCGGTGAGGGGGAAAGGCCAGGAGGGGCGGAGGGAGACGCAGTTGCAGATGCGGGGGGTGGCGGAGGGAAGAGGGGGAAGAGAGGCATGGGAGAGGGGGAGACGGGGGGCAGGGAGGGGAGAGAAGGGAAGGAGAAGGGGAAGAGGAGGAGGAAGGAAGGGCGGCCTTCCTCCGTGCCAGGGGAAGCTGGCACAGGTGGTAGGGAGGCTGGCGGTAGGGAGGCTGGCAGTAGGGAGGAAGGTGCTAGGGAGGCTGGTAAGGAGATGGGAGTGGGAGGAGAGGGTGGGCCGGGGATAAGCAGTGGTGCAGGTGGTGTGGCAGGAGGGGTGGTGGGAGGCGTGGGTGGTGTGGCAGGAGGGGTGGTGGGAGGCGTGGGTGGTGTGGGTGTGGTGCAGAGGGGTACAAAGAGAGTGAAGGTGGAGGAGGTGGGGGGTGAAAGGGGTGTGGAAGAGGGAGAAGCGGTTGGGCAGGG